GGAAGGAGAGGCGGTGACTGATGAGGGCGGACAACGAGAGCGCCGTGTCGTGGGTGAAGAAGTGTGGGGGGGGGGGAAGAAGAAGGCGAGGGTAGGGGCACTGATGAGGATGATGGGGAGCTTTGGAGACGATTGGGGGTTGGTGTTTTCAGGCGAGGCATGTACCGGGCGTGGAGAATAGGCTAGCAGATGGCATAACAAGATGGAAGGAAGGAGAGATCACTGACAAATTGCAATCGGAATCGCCCGGAACACGTTGGCAGGTGCAGGAGCTGAAGGTCGAGGAGCAGCAGCTATGTGCAGAGATTTTGCGCAAAGCTACGCACTTGGGAGAGTTGCAGCGTCGACTAGAAAAACTTACACGGGGGCTTGGAACATGTGGATAAAGTGGAGGGAACGAGTGCAGAAGAGCCCATGGATTGCGAAGGGGTCGGAGGAAGGGGAGATAGTGGAGGAGCTGGCGGAGTACATGGCTTACTGTAGTGCGTTCCTAGGAAATAGGGATTCGACGATAATGGGGAAGCTCGTGGCGGTAAACTTCTATCATCAACAGTTTCAGAACATGTCTTTGCCGTTGAGTAACCCGTACATCAAAGGGGTAGCGCAAGGTATCAAGAGAGGGCACGTGGAGAAAGGCACAAAAGCTAGAGTGAGGAGACCTTTGACATGGGGAATGTTGAGTGCCATGCAGCAGAGTGTTGGCGGTGAGGGTGCAGGGGGAAGAGTGCTATGGATCGGATTGGCCTTGACATATCTGCTGATGTTGAGGGCGTCAGAGTTGTTTGCGGAAAAGGATGGAAAAATCCACGAAGTGTACTGCCTGTGCAGGGGGGATGTGGCATTCTTTGAGGGCGATAAGCAGCTGGAAGGACCGGAGAGGTTAAGGGCAGATAAGATAGAAGTGCAGATGAGAGGCTCGAAGGGAGATCAAGGGAGGAAAGGAGCGGTGCTGGTCAGGGAGAGGGGGAGGGCGAATGGAGCGGTGGAATTGATGTTGGAACTATTCGGGATTTATGGAAGTGAAGGACTAAGTGCAACGGCACCATTGATGGTACACAGAAGGGAAGGGAAGTGGGAGGTATGGCAGAGAAGGAAGGCGACAGAGCAGATGAGGAAGGGGATAAGAGCGGTGTCAAAGATGTGG